CCATAAAGAGGATCATTTGTGGGACACGTTGTCGCTGTGTGCGTCATCGTATGTCTGCTCGCCAGGATTGGGGGGTGCGCCGTACAACTCTGTGTGCAGCGACCGTAGAAACAGTGACCAATCATCAACCTCTGTTTAACCTAATCCCCCATCCTGATCATGAGTAGCTCCCTGCGCGTACACACTTGATCCGCTATATACGTCCTGAATAAACGTGCTCCGTACTACACGTCTGTTTCCTTTATAACTGGACTATAGCTTAGCTAGTTCTGGTAGTCTAGCTAGATGTTGGAGAATCTGCCATAGAGATTTTTTACCATTTACCTTTTACCATTAAGTTCTGAGGCAGACGTCTCCACTCCAAGTGCCAATTTTACAGAGCATGTGGACAAATTATGGCATCTGGCCCAGCCACATTCCAGTAATTGTACTAACTAAACTTAGAACATCAAAGTTGACACAATGGGATTGCAACTAATAATTATGCCATAACACTGACGAGGGACGCCAAAAATGAAAAAAGGCCCATGGACAACACCTTATTAGCTGTTACGTACTTCACCATTACCCTCTAAAGGACATTTCACAAGTTAGACCTATTTTGACACTGAAAGCCCCAAGCATTTGAAAACAAATTTACACAAGTGCATGACACAAACTCGACTCTTTTTATTCCATTTCAAAGGGAGTCACCTCCAATGTATAAGTTCCGACACAAAAAATATTCAACGGCTATCTCCGAGTGTGAGGTATTCGTTGATTCAACAACAAATCTGGAAGGTGGAATGAAGGAAAGAAATAGGTGGGGGCTGGACAAGGAGAAGCAAGAAATAGGCACCCGGAAAAGGGGATAAGATAGTTATCAGTACAAGAGGTATTCTACGGACCAAAATTTGCACAGAGAAAATGCCAGAGACAGAGTTGTCCAAATGCATAAAGGAGGTGTGAATGGAAAGTGAGGCAATGTAGGAAGGGTTACTTTGCAAGAGGAACAAGAAGGCAGACAGGTAAGAGATGTATTATATACTTGTTGGATGGTTTCCGATCCTTTCTATTCCAACCGTACCATGCCTTGAGCACAGTAGGCCTCCAAGGTTGCTTTTGCTTCGTTGGAAAGCCCAGTCTGCAACTCCTGGGAAATCTAAACATGAAACAAAAATGCCACTACTGAAATCCCTCTAAAGAAATTGAAGAGCGTGTGTAAAAGTGATCACTAACCGTGCCCGGGAAGCGTTGAGCTAGATTCTCCAGACACTTGGCGAAATAAATTCGTGGATCGAAGACACCAGGAGATAGGGTTGGCAACTTACATCGTCCAAAAATTAGGACAAATGAGGCTAAAATCGAACAAAATGGCTTAATTTAGTTCATGAAAATCGGGCAACACAATTCACCGTTGATATCAACCGCCTCTAAAATTGGATAAACATACAATCTTTCACTATTTTGAATCATAAGTTAATGAGGAGGCTTAAACTAACGAAGCGTGCAATTTAATGTAATGAGTTAGTGAAACAATGATTCAAAGAATCGAATTACGACGGCATATCGTACAATACTTTTTAGATGCTGTTGGGCATTCGGAGCAGCCGACATATTGGAAGGTTAACCATCATGAGAAATACGAAGAGAAAACAAATGCTCCAGAAAGATTCTCAAACTTCCTTAAGCTTTGAATTCAAGACGTTAAAACAAGTTAATTCATCATCTCGAATTTGCAAATGTCCACTACTGAGCATAATGATTAATGCCGGAATCAATAAACTCTAAGCAATAATACTTCCAAAGTAACGTCTGAGAAGTGGCAGAATAATTTTCAGTAGCAACTTCAATGGAACTATTCTAATGGGTCCAGTCATGGATCTAAAATACGTAACTAAACGCACGAGCATCAATGGAGTCCTATTTTAAAAAGAAAGAAGGGTTTACCGACATAGATACATGGTGAATTGAACACTAGAGAAGATAGAAACCACCAGGAGAAAATGACAGCAATAACACTCACCAGATTCTCCAGCCACATCAGTAAATCGTTCATCAGTGAAGATAGGTGGAGAGCTAGCCGAATTAGCATTTTCCACAGTAGCAGACAAAGCGGCAGCATCTGCAGCGATTGCTCCACAGCGCGCAGGCCCTGCAAGGAGGCCGGCCAAAATCGACTGGACGAAGGGAACAAATGCATCAGCATGGTAGGAGGTAGTCATTCCATTGGCCATTGGAGCGCAAAGAGCATCCGCTTGAGTTACCAGTATGCTCAAACCAGCTGCAACTGTCAAATAATCCTCTCTGGCAAGACGAGAGAAACAAGTTGAGGAGAGAGAAGAGTAGGTTCCACTGGCACCATTGGCGCCTTGCTGACCATCACCAGCATTACTGTGGGCTACAATTGATAAATAGGTAAAAAACAGCAATGTCATCGAAGAAATTTTAAAAATGACAATACCGACGATATACAAGATACTAAATCGAAAAACTCGAATATCAAAAAACGTCACCGATTTTCTTTTAAAGACAGATGATAAGCGTGTGAACATCAGCCTGAAGCTATGATGGACTGAGATCAGGTGCGATACACATCAGGGAAGAAAATTCAAACGATGAAACAGAAATGAATAGCAGAGAAATAAGTTAAAACATTCACTACAACGTCAAATTCCCTCTTATCGAAATATGTATATTAGAATAACAGCGATTATTTTTCCTACTGGGCACACCCACCATAGAACTTGGATCGTTTGATGCCCATTCGTGAATTAAAGACAAACTAAAATTCATGGTCAAGTGGCTGATTCATATTTGGAGTAGGTAAAGCACTTACAAGACCTTTGAGTGATCCTTGCTAGGCCTTAGTTGCCTATATGGTCATCTGCTTCTGTTCTCTCTCGAATTACACCCATCTGTCAACGAAAAAAGGGCTTAATCAGGACGTGACCTCTGGTGCCACCGCTTAGGCGCCTCTGCACTCAAGGTCAACTTCAATCACTTATGATCTTACTTTAAAGACCCCAAAACGCACTTTCCCTATCTGATTGACAGAAATCAAAATGATTTAGACTAGGGAATAGATGGAATCCGAAAACGAATATTCAGTCATCGCCATTTTCTAACTGTACATGAAATTCCATTGAAAGAATGAAATGATCCAATTTACCAATTGAAAGCGCTGGACTAAAAATTAAAATTAGCCTTAAAAGAGGTTTACTGCGACAAAATCTATTCGAATATCGTTCCAAATGCACTGCACTTAAAATAGTCAGAAGAAGCAAACAGAAATCTCCGCAAATAATGCACTGCTCAACTGCTACTACTCGTCACTTCAATTAATCTAATGAAACAAAAATTATAAAACGCGAATCGGACAGAAGTAACATTGAGTTTTCACATTGGAGAGGAAATTAAAACGTCCTTGAGGTTACGATTTCATTATCAGTGATTTCAGAACAGTTGAGAAGTAATTGTGATAAGGGAAGAGGATATTTCCACTGGTTTCCTGCTTCCCATCTCATGAAGCAACTATGACCTTAAAGAAAGCCATGATAAAGGTTTGGTGAATATCAAAGGAGATGGGGTAGTTGGTCGTAGATACAACTTTTTCCCACCCTGCAAATACTGAATCTACAATGTTTTCAGATAGGAAATGATTTAAGCATGGCAGACAAAAGTCCGTGATCTAACAATTACTATTTACTTTAGTTAGCAGACACAAAGCAATATAGATTACTCACATACGAGAGTGAGTCAAAAAAATCCCATAAAATGCAATAACTGTAAATAGGACAAAGGTTTACTAGTTTTTACAAGTTCAAACATGCCCCATAACTTCCTTAATAGCATACAACTGTCCGATCATTCTATGTGAGGTCAGGATCTAGACAGGTTGCACCTCAAACATGAAGGCAATTTTCAATCCTTCAAATGACAAATTTCGAGATCAGAAGGAAAATTCTAAACAAAAAATTATTGGAAAGCTCTTTAGATCATAGAAGCTTTACAGGAGGTCTATGGAGTATCTGTCATGTAGAATAGTTCATTAGGATTGGGTTAAATGCATTAAAAAGGGGTTCCACCACAACAAGAAATCAAAAAAATATACACATCTTCTGAAGATGTCTAGTGGAATGAGATGGAGGAATTATAATAGAGGTAATTGTCAATAAATCGTGCATGGGTCAGCATTTAGAATCGCTATTTTTGGAAATCAAAAGGAGTGATATTGAAAGATTTTCTGGAAGGCATTTTGAATACGTACACATTCTTCAAGAGCTGGCAGGGCTCTGTTGAGCGAATTTCGATGGTAAACCTTTCCAAATCCTCCCTATAGTCCAGCCCTACTACCCTAAGACTTGTCTGTTTTCATCACCGAAAGAGCACCTTAAAATCATCGCATTTACGTCTTTAAATTAAGCGAAAAAAGCAAATAATTTAATGGCGCCAGACATAGACCCCAAAATTCGACCAGGGGAGAATTTACAGGTAGATATAGATTACAAAACGGAGCCTATGTGGAAATAAATAATGAAATTTATCTGAGAACTCTCTGACCTACCAGTAATGATAACAGACGGGTTAATGAGACCAACAGGTGAAGAGATAGCCAATTCAGCATGGGGAATAAGAACCTTCTCTAAGACACGGGAGAATATCCTGTTTTGGACGCCATCGACGATTTGAACTAGCTCATTAGCACCGAAAATGAGAACAAATTGAGCAAGGAAGGTGGTCAAACCTAAAAGGCACAAGGGATATTAATAATAATAATAATAATAAGACAACCCATAGAGCTTAAAAGGCCATTTTCGGCATGAAACCTACATCGCATGAACTTTTCAGTTTTTGCAGATTGAAGACGTTGGAATATGCAAATGAAGATTTGTTTAAGGAAGGGTTGAAGGTTGGCTCGTGGGAAGGCCAACAAGAAAGCAGTAATAATGCTAAATGCGTAGACATCATTAGTCTTTGAGTTTAGTAATCGTTGGTAGACACCAAGAATTGCTTCAACCTGAAAACAGGGCTTAATTAACACCCGAAACGGAGATAATAAAATTCAAAAAAAGATTGCTTACTTTGTTTGTGCTGACTACCGCCTCTACGTTATGCAGAAGGTAAGCTTGCATCAGACGAGCAAGAGACATAACAGCGCCCTGTGTTTCCCAAAGAGCAGGAACAAGAAGGCGCGGTAGGAGTGCGGCATATGCCGGATTGAGCATAGGCTGATTGGAGAGCTGTTGATACTGAGGCAGCGGTTCTAAACCGGCTACTTTGCGTTTCTGTGCAAAAAGCTCCCGTGCGTTAGGACCCAGTGGATATTGTTCCAGCATAACGGCAAGGAGTTGGAAGACGTATGGGAAAAATTCTACAACAAGGATTCGAATGCAAGATTACTAAATCAAAGAAATCAACAAAGGCATATACCAACCGGTAATGTCCTGTTGAAGAATCTCTTGGAAGATCATGAATAAGGTGTTTTCGAATTGAGTAATGAAAGCGGGGTCGGTAGAGCAGGTTAGACGTACACAGAGGCACAGACATTCGAAGAGGAAGTGATTGAACTGAGGCTTGGAAGGATTCTGGTAGAAAGAGACAATGGAATGACTATCATGAAATGATATTAAAATAGAAAATTAATGTCACTTTTTCCGTATAGATGCTAACACACACAACATTTCAAAAAAAGAGCGAAGTGAAGAACAGTAATTGGATAATAAATTAGCAATTACAAGATGGACAGAAAATCTCAATCTTTTGCCAAACCCATCAGAAAACTCAAATCTTCCAACAGGTAAGAAGCAGGCAGGCTTTTGACATCGCGTTTAGATAGCTTAGACAAAGATTAAATAAGATACTTCAACGACTTCGATTTACAGAAAAAAAGCAAATATCAATTCCAAATGAATACACCAAAATAAAAATAATTTGCAATACAGAAAGTATAAAATGTGTGACTGCAAGCAGAAAACAATACGAAATAGACTCCTGTCAGGTATTTCAGACATCAGCAATAAGTTCTAATAAAAGGTCAGTACAATCGGTCAAGAGAAAAATTCGAGAAGAAAATCAAAATATTTTCAATAATATGTTTTCACTGTCAAAGTTTAAAGGACATATGAGCAAATGTAGTAAATTAAACAAAATGAGATAAATGGCATCAACCAATGAAATTCGAAAACTAATTTAACACAGAAAATAAGTATAGTCTAGGCAAGGAAAAGATGTTCATTTATCTGACTTGCTACTTGGCATATAGCTACAAATGCTATTAACAAATGTAAAAATATTTGAAAGTAATAAAAAGAAGAACCATATCATTAAATGGTAAAATCCAATAGAATTCAGTTAGTATTTAGGATATTTGGATAAAAGCGACTTATTTTGGAAAGAGAGTGAACGGTAGTAAGCACACCAGTAGTTAATGCGCTTGTCTGCAAAATCACTCATTTTCGGAGCCAGACACAATTGTTAACACTTTAACGTTCCTAGGACCGTACAGTCCTCTTTCAAAAAAAACTAAACCGGTACTAGACGCATAACAGAAGGCGTTATTGCTGCTTCAAACATGTTCAATATGTGTCTAGAGCCTTCGCCTGATGCACCACCAAAACTCAACACGTCGACATCAGTCTAAAGTGAGACACGTGCGAGTGCGGTTGGGAGCATTTTTCAAAAAATGACTCAACGTTAAAGGGCTAAGTGTAGTTTCTAAATGAAGCGGCAAAATTCCAATCACTCACCAGACTTGACAGCACTACACCTCTACCCAATGCCGACGTTGGAAAATGCCTAATTAGATTACTTTCATCTATGTGTAGTTAGAGCAGCAAGTGCTTGAAAAAATCAAATACCATCCAAAACATCAAACAATACAACCGCCCACCTGACATGGGAAATAAATAATTACGAGAATGTTTACCAAACAGCAGGGTAAGCATAAAAGAGCACGAACACACATTTGAGGACAAACCTTAATTATTTGAGTCAAGCGAGTGGCTAGAACAATAACAAGATCGTTCATGCAAGGCAGACACCGCTCCTCCAGACAGCAGCAGATTCGAAGCAGAGCTGCATAAAGGTAAAAAATAAATGCTCGAGTTTTACACTCCTTAGATAGCCGTTTCAATAGAGGCATATAACAAAAACATACCTCTCATTAGGTAGACATTTTCACAAGAAGTAGGTCTAGATAGTGCCTCCAAGCAGCGTTGAATAAGAAGATCTGGGGTTGAGATCTTCGCCTTAGTGACTCTATAGAAAAATACAACCAATTAGTAATAGACAGGAGTAGATAGGAAAAGGAAACAAACTTCATTAGAGGAACATACAAAGGAGTGAGAGATGGTTGGTCGGGGATAGTCATAAATAGGATTTTCTCAAATAATACAGCGGCATAGCTGTGAACCACAACTGATGAGGCAATGAGGAAGTTTGGGACAATATTGACGAGATTGAAAATTGTGTCTGGCGAGAGAAGTCCACGGAAAGCAATGGCGTAGCGCAAACAGTCAGCTTTTATAATCGGCATTTGATCAACTAAAGTAAGAAATATGAAAGAGTAGAAACCACTAAAAGGTAGAATATAAGATCCGTAAATTACCGTTCGGGCTTTGCAATTCAGGAAGGACATGTGTTTCGAAGAATGTTGGAATATTCACTAACTTGGATGAAGAGGTAACTCCGAGCTGAGGGAAGAAAAGGCATCATTTTAAATGTGATAAACAAAGTTTATGGTAAAAGCTTAACCCTAACGACCGTGTACCACGCATTTATGAAAACAGAAAAACACAATGGGGAAAGAAAATCGCTTGCAATAGTTAGTACAATAGTAAGAGAGAAACTTGTCCCCCAAGTTATGTTAATTGGATAATATTGACTAGCAAGCGGTGTTCCGAGTGTCCGAATCTCCTACAACTTTGCCATTTTTTTAACATTCCAAGTATGGGCTGTAAGATAGACACACCTTCACGTGGTGCACCCTGGGCAACGCATACTCATACGGCAAAAAAGTCTATTAATCGGCAGTTGACTTCTGACTTCGAACTACCATCACCCCCACTGTATGTCATATTCGACTACTTCCACAGTACTCACCTCACCTTTTCCTCTACCTTTGTGTCTGTCTCATTTACATCTTCTGTCCCCCCCCCCTTGATTTTTTTTCAATTTGATGTTCCTTCCCCTCTGTGAAGCCTGAAGTCAACTTAAGGGCTAATGATAATTATCGAAATGCCCACCATTTGATATAAATAAATAAACATTTTCGATGCACTCGAGCAAAAATCTTCACTCCTTTTGGATTGAAATATCACTTAACCATGAAAGCACAAACATGATTGTAATATCAAATAATTCCCACATAACTTGAATGAGATAAGAGCTCA